TCTATTACAGGATAACATAGAATATGTGTTTCCAGGGTTGTGATCTATAGGAAATTAGACCTTCTCCATATTAGGATACGATTAGTCTTGTCCTTTTCCCAGTGAAATGCAGGTTTAAATAGTTTAATTCAGTGTCTGCCAGAAATCAACACTTATATTAAGGAATATATCGTCTCACCTGTGTCCTTTTGAGATGATAAAACATACAGTCCTATGCACAGATATTGTCAAAGCAATCAAATGAAAATCATAAAGGTGTTTCCCTACCTATTTTCTTTCCTCTATGGATTTACATCCAATTTAAAAATGTGTTGCATATAGCTGAAAAACCGTTTTGAATTATTCAGCTGTACTTTTACTCCACTGTGAAATTCATGTGGTTGGAGAAACTAATAAAGTGGCTTCGAGTCACACAAAAAGAACAGATGGTTAAGAATCTTTTCAAAACAGTAGTTATTATTTTAATATAAGTGCAAATATCAAGGCTAATGCCACTGTACATATTTAGCCACCAAACATTCCTGAACATGTAAGTTTTTCAATGTGAAGAAGTAATACATTGAGAAAGAAAATTCAGAGAAAATTATTTTTCCCCCAAGATCATTAATATAGATTATATTAAATTACAGAATATCCAGTTGGACCTGCAGGGCACAATGTTTGGAGGATGAAGGAGGTAGAGAAGGGAGGGGTTAAAAAAAAGGAACTGTGATGGGGATTATTTCAGTGTGTTGGAGTAGAAGGCACACCATTAAATGACATGGTAAAGATAAAGCGAATCAGAATGACTGTATTTGGAGGCACAGAAGCTAGGTAGTTGAGGTGAGACAGGAGAGTAGTTGAGGGGTGAACACAGTCTCCACAGGCAGATTTCAATTCAGCCCTCACTGCTGCAAAACTGTGTCTAGACTATAATGTCTTACACTCTGATATCTATTCCCCAAATGCATCAAATCACACAAGTTCTGTAAGGTTCTGTTTGCCCATTAAAATGTGAAAAAAATATCACTTTATGTTTAAAATCTGTTTTTATTATTTTTTTAGAGAGAGGATGGGAGAGAGAGAGACAGTGATGTGAGAACATCCATCAACTGCCTCTTGTGCGCCCCCTACTGTGGATAAAGCTCAAAGCCCCGGCAGGTGCCCTGACCAGGATTCAAACCAGGATCTCTCAGTCCGTGGGACGATGCTCAATCCACTGGCCACACTAGCCGGGCATATCACTTCATGTTTAATCATAAAGTCTTTTTTAGTCTCCAGGAATGAGAAACGACTTCTTTGCAGTACTAAGGGGAATGAGAAATTATTTTCACAAATCTTGCCATAAATGTGTGAAAATCTACTATTAAATCAGTGTTCCCTTAGCATAATACCCACTAGATCTATCAATATTGTTGCAAATGATAAGAGTCATTCCTTTTATGGCTGAGTAGTATTCCATTGTATATATGCAACACATCTCTTTATCCGATTATCTCTTTATGGACACGGGCTGCTTCCATATCTTGGCTACTGTAAATCTTGCTGCAATGAACATAGGGGTGCATCTATCTTTTTAAATTAGTGTTTTGCATTTCTTAAGATAAATACCCAGAAGTGAAGTCACTGGGTCATAGACAGTTCCATTTTTAACTTTTTGAGGAAACTCCACTTTGTTTTCCCTAGTGACTGCACCAGTCTGCATTCCCACCAACAGTGTACAAGGGTTCCCTTTTCTCCACATACTCATCAACACTTGTTTGTTGATTTATTGATGATAGCCATTCTGACAGGCACGAGGTGACATCTCACTGTGGTTTTAATTTGCATTTGTCTGATTATAAGTGATGCTGAACATCTTTTAGTATATATTTTGGCCATATGTATGTCCTCTTTGGAGGAATGTCTATTCAGGTTCTCTGCGTATTTTTTAATCATTTTTTTTTTGTGTTAACTTATATGAGTTCCATGTATATTTTGGATATTAACTCTTATTGGATGTATCATTCGTGAATATCTTCTATTCAAAAGGATGTGTTTTCATTTTCTTGATGGTTTCCTTTGCTGTGAAAAATTTTGTAGTTTGATGTGGTTCCATTTATTTTTTTCTTTACTCCCCTCGCCTGAGAAGTCATATCCAAAAAATATTGCTAAGAGTGATGTCAAAGAATTTATTGCCTATGTTTTCGTCTAAGAATTGTATGGTTTCAGGTGTTACATTTAGGTCTGTAATCCATTTTGAGTTTGTAAGGTATATAAGTGAAACAGCTATGTTTTATATCTGAAACTAATATAAAATTGTATTCTAACTGTAATTTTATAATATATTAATTTTAAAAGTTCAAAATAATAGTTTATTTAAAACATTGATGTGGAAAAAAAAGTGTTTCCTATGAAAATTCTAGTAACTCTAGGAGTAGTGTCATAGAAATTGATTGTCAGTCAATTATAGTTATGTTTGAAAAATACAGCCAATCATTTTCATCATGGTAAACCAAACTTGCTGACACTTTGACCTTGAAATTTCATCCTCCAGAACTGTGAGAAAATAGATTTCTGCTGCTTAAGCCACCCAGTCTGTGACATCCTGTTACGACAGCCCTAGTGGACTAAGATAGTCATTAAGATAATAAAGATAATTACATTAATAATTGCAGTAAACTCCTGACCCAACTCCCAAGTATAACCTTTCATTTCAGTTGTGATCATGAGACATAATTCTATTCAATTAGACGTAATTTAATTCTGCGTGGCAAGGTTTTCATAAAACCCATACTGTATTGCTGAACGAAAGGACAAATTCAGTTTAAACAAGCTGCTGTCGCTTTTGTCCTTTGCAGTTCCCTCGCATTCCGAACGTGGCTCTTAGGAACACAAGGTAGTGTGGACGAGGACAAAAGCCAACATGCTGAGAATAAGAGGACATAAAGAAAAATTATGTGGATGCCCGATTATATTGCTGAGATGTTTCCCTAACCTTGGATTGTCTAACACATAAATTTATTTAATGTGAAGAAAAAAAATTCTCAGTCTCAACCCTGCTAATCATGTTTTGTGTTACCTGAAGTCCAAAAATACAAAAATTATTTCCTAATAGATAAACAGTTGATATATGGTTTTAAAAATAAAGTCAGTGTAAAAATTATTGATCACTTTCTCCAAATAAGATATTGATGGCTTTGAGAAGATTTGCGATGCTATCTCTTAAATTTTATTAAATATTCAGAGAAAGATGCACGTTGTGGGCAGGTACGTTCTTGTTCATTTCTGAACGTTACTTTTGGATAACTGCAAATAGAAACATAGCTGAAAAATGTCATGGCATTCCTAAAATATACATACAGACTTTACCAATAAAAGCCCCTATTAAAAGGGATGAAGAAAATATAAAATCAGAAATAATATATATTTGCTACCATCAATTAAACTCAGTGACTTCGGTTGAGCTCTATATAATATCTGTGTTATTTCTAACACTAACTCTTAGAAAGGAGAGGTCAAGCATACACGTTAGCTTTGGGTAGAAGTTATCAATAAAGAGAATATATTGGAAGTAGGTTTAATAGCCATTGCATTTCAGTTCCCCATGGGATTCCACTGGGGTTGCATGCACATATGACCAGCCCCCTGGAGCCTGACCCATACATGCTCTGGGTGCACCTGTAGGCATGGAGGGGAAGATCTGTTTTCCCAGTTCAATTCATAAATTTGGCTCAGGACTGTGTTCCTTAAAGAAAGATTCTCCCCCTCCAAAGAGGTTCCTAAAGGGCAAATAAGAATGGCCAAGCAACGTGCATGAGCAGCACACACTACCAGATGCACAGAGACCAGTGAGCCCTGCAGAGTGGTTTGGGGGAAGACTCATGTGACCTCCATGGCAGAGTCCCCAAAAGACATAATGCTGCTCATTATTGCTGGCCACACCCAAGACAAAGAGGGGTTCTGCAAAAGGGTATTCATCATAAATTTAAGAGACCAAATTGAGGTCTAAAATTAATTTTTAAAGCATGCTATTTGAAATCAAATTCTTCTTTTCATTCCCCTTCAAAATGTGCATGTTTGAATTTCGAAGTAGCCATATTATCATTTAGATAATCCTGAATTTGTGGGAAAATATTTAAAGTTCATCTACATACTGTTAAGAAACAATTCTTTAAATGTCATTTGCTAAAATAGAATACACTTGGCAACTGTTAGTAAAGGTTCAGTCAACACATATTTGAAGTAGTCACTGTATTATGAGGATAATTATAAACAGTAAATACATCTTACAAAACTTAATTTCCATCTTTCATTTTTAACGTATTCCTCAGTAGACACAAACCCAGTGGTACTTATGGTAAGACTGTCAGGAGAAATCACTTTGGCGGCCTTTGGATTCATTTTCATCTAAAGGCAAAGAGGCAAAGCCCATCGGCCACTCCATCACGTGGCTGTCAGTGGACATCTTCAGCCCTTAGACATAAAAAGTTCCTAGGCAGCTCTTAGCTCTCTGAAGCCTCAGATTAGCTTGGGCTATTTAAACTTAAAATCAAAACAAAACAAAAACTTTTACTTCCTCAAGTTCAATGTGGTCATTCTTTGTTAAATTCTGATTGAAATAATTTACTTAAGGTGTGATTTGTGGTTTGCTAATAATCTTACCTACAATAACTAGAACTGAGAAGAGAGTTTAACTACAGTTACCAAAGCCAACTGGAACGCAGGGTGAAAATATTGTGCTAACTTGTCAGAAAACAGGAAAAATGGTGTCTCAACTAAAAAATCTGTACAAATCACAAGATGAAAGTCATGGGATTATTTTGATGACTTATGTTTAGATTTTAACAAGAACTAGCAAACATATTTATAATTTATAATGATGAACATTAGCAATGGAAAATTATCATTTAAATTCCTATGAGTGCCATTTTTATCAATTATTTAATAGGCATTCACTCCTGCTAAGTCTATGAACTCAATGCAAATTTAATGCAATTTGAGAACACTTTGTACAAAATGACAATAAATGGGGTACTTACACTTCTGTATTTCACAATGTATTCCAAAATAGGGGCCCCTCCATCATCCTGTTTGGTGATACTGAGTTTAAAGCTCTTCCCACTGCTTGGCTGCCCGTGGATGGACGGAGGACTTGGTTCACCTAAACATGCAAGACAACATTCCTGATATTTGTACACACCGCAGATACCCAGAGAAACTGTGTTTTAATAAAAACGACAATGTCATATAATAAAAATACATGATATTCCTGGATTTAACATTTGTTATTTGCTCTTTGTTGTGATTGAACCTCTGATCCTTTTTCTCTACATTCAAGAAACAGTGACAGTCATAATGCAGAGGTATTATGCCAGAACTGAGGGCCCAGGACCCAAACACATTGTTTACATTGACGACAGAATGCCCTGAGAACAGAGCTGCATTCTACACGTGTAAAACATGATCCTTTTATTAGTGGCCTATAATCCTATTTATTTTGTTCATGTAAATGTAGTTTGTAAACATTATGTAAACAGTTGTTAATATAAACATATGAAGGCATCAAACTATATAGTATCTATCTCTACCAGAAAATATAATTGCTTAGCAATTAGTTGTTTCTTTCATGAGCAGTTTTTTTTTTTTTAACTACAGTGTGAATAAAGAAATTTTGTATTATCTAATCTATACACCTGTATTTCAATATCATTTTTTTTCTTCTAGCATCAAGAATATACTTGTAGATGATATTATTCTTGTCATGGAGATGAGCTATCCCATAGATGCTTATAATACTTCAAATATGAACAGAGACCCACTGAAGTGTAAGAGGGTTTTATGTGAAGAATGACATCACTGCTTAGCAACTAAAAACGGGGGTTCTCTGCTGCGTGTCCCTGATGGACCACCTGGGCACACACTGGCTTCTGCCGCTTCCCTCTCCGGACCCCATGGCTGTGGATGTGAATACAAATGTGGCAATCCTAGACAAGAAGTCAAGGACGTGCTTCAGGTTTCAGGGTTCCAAAGACCTGGAACATCGGGTCTACTGAGAGGAATGCCCAGCAGACAAGCAAAGAGGAATGGGGTGGAGAGGGCTGTTCACCTCCGAACCTGGACAACCTGAGCTAAGCTTTCAGCAAGTGATGTTTACTTCTAATATGGTGTATAAAGCCTTAAGCAAGTGGGTAGTTTATCTGTGAGGAAGAAGGTCATTAAAGAAATATGACCGACCATTGGGTATGTTGGCACACCAGTAAATCGTAAAATCGTCTCATACGGTACAGCCATACATAAACACAATGAACAGAGGAACTGTACAGTGATTGTTCATGCAAGCTAATTACATTACCATGTACATATCATGACATGACATGTACAATGAACCATGTGTTTTTGATTAACGAATAAGACTTCTGTAAAAATCAGTGTAATAATTTAAAAAATTTTTTTCCTTATTGATTTTATAGAGAGAGGAAGTGAGAGGGAGAGAGAGATAGAAACATTAATGACAGAGAACATTGATTGGCCGCCTCCTGCATGCCCCTCAGTGGGGATCAGGCCCACAACCTGGGCGTGTCTCCTGACCAGAATCAAACTGGCAACCTCTTGGTGCATGGGTCAACGCTCAACCACTGAGCCACACTGGCCAGACCAGTGCAATAATTTTTTTATAAATATTTAGTAAGATACTCTGTGAAAATCTAAATATTATAAAATTATGTTATATTTAGGTGGTTTAAGAGCATTTCTAAATTAAATCTTAGAATTTACATGTTGAAGAGTATAAGTTTGTTTAATATTATTGTAATAATATTTTAATGGTAGCATTTTAAAATAATAATTATAAAGCAGAAATTGTATTTTTGGTAATGGATGTTTTAAAATATATAGTTCAAAAATTTATGCCAAATTTGTGATTCCATTATAATTTCTGCTTCCTTTGAAAAGAAAATAAAGTTCAGAACAAGGGTAAACTGTGTCAGAGAGAAACTGATTAAAATAATGGTTTCTATTAGCAAATTATAACAAAATGTACATGCAATGGTAATAATAATATAAATAATAATCTAGAAGTATTAATGGTTACTTATGACATATTAAGTACTACGTATATATTATCTCATTTAAATGTCAAAAAAAAAATCTTGAGAAACAGTTTAAATACTTCTTTATTATTATAAAAAAAAAAACCACAATATCCCTACCCTCAACATGCTCAATGTCTAGGGCAGAGGTTGCAAGTTAAGAAATGTACACCAAGAGATTAGAAGTGTTGTCATTTTAAAGGGAAAGGGGGAGAAAGGAGAGAGTCATAGGGAGATGTTAGGGCTGACACACCTACATAAGCATTCTATGAGAGAATAAAAGTCAGTGTGCCTAAGTGAAGAAGGAAATGAAGGTGGGCGTGGTTAGCCAAGGTCTCAGTAGAGTGAGCACGCTGTCATCGGAGGCCGTGTGAGCGAAGGCCACTCTGTCAACGCAGAAAGCACTGCGGCGGCTAAGAGTGGGGGTGTGGGGGTGCAGACGGGCGAAGGGGGGTGTGGATGGGAAGTGGGAAGGTAAAGCATGGTGTTGTTGAGGATGACAAGTAGAGAAGACACAGGTGTTTAAATTTTTGTGAAGTCACTCTAGGCTCATTTTAATCTGGAGACAGAATTACAAATCAAGACGTATTTGCAGTCCTGCTGGTGAAAAAATAATGAGAAACTACACACAAGGCTGGGAACGGAGGAAAAGGAACACATCCCACCGATTTTCAGATAAACAGCAAGAATCTGTCACAAATTGAGATACTGTAATTTATGCGGTGAACGGGTTGGCTTAATACATGTGTATAGGAGATAGGGTTACGCATGGATTTTATAACTGCTTTTCTTTAGTCACACTCATTTTCCTCATATTTTAAACCAATTTATTCAACATTTAAAAAATGTAAGTCATTTTAAATTTCTCTTAACTTCATATAAACTCAGTTGATGCGTAACACCCACAACAGGATAGTAATGAGAACAAGGCCACAGCAGCTATTTTTCCGCGGTCACCATTGCGATGGATTAATGTAATGGTGCATTTTTCTCACATTTCAGGCCTATATCTGTAACTCATGGGATAAAGACAATAGTCATGCCACATCAAAAGGACAGAATATTGGACATGCTGCGCACCCTCTTCTACTTCCTCACGGAATATAGGCTGAGCACTACGATATGATTCATCAGACTACGAATAAGTAGGACACCTTCTGATCGGGACAACTTCCTGAGAGCAATTTTACTGTGTATATCGCAGTTCATCTTTTCTTTTTTGCCTCGCTCCCGAGCAAAGTTATTTATTTTTACAAATCTCAGACGCCACCATATTCTGAAACGATTTCAACAGAGACATGATTCACTTCCCCCAAGTGCTGAAAAGTCTCCTTGCATTTTAATACCCAGGGAACAGTGACAAACAGAGAGTGGTACTTACGAACTGGTAATGTTTGGAAGATTTCTATTTTACTGTAGTCCCCTTGCCCCTTTCCATTCACAGCTGCAACCCTGATTTCGTAAGTTGTGTTTGGTTCCAAATTGCTCAAAACCACCATTGCTAGAAGGAAAACATATGGGCCAATGATTAATGTATTTTCATAAGTACACAAATCAACCTCTTGCAAAGCTGAATACAACATTTCGCTGTAAATCTTTCCGTGAAACACTGAAAAGGATAGGAAATAGATCTAAGAAGAGAATGATTGGGGAAAAGTCTATTCTTCACCTTTTATCTTAGCTTTCTGACTCAATGCAATAACTTTCAAATAAAAAACCTGATAGCTTCTTATGCGATGCTTATACTCACCGAGCAGAAAGTAAAATTCCTTCTTTCACCTTTTTAATACTCAAGAAGTAAGAATGATTTAAATAAAACATATTTACAGTACGCATCCCAAATATCTTGTCTATTCATAATGATTTTCCATGGAATTTCATGGAGAATTGGAGTTCATTATAGGGGACTCTGGCCTCTGTGATGGGGGTTTCAGTCATCTACAGGAAATGTCACAAACTTGACTCAACAGCAAAAGTAATCCATTTATTCAATAATGTCCAATCAAATGAAATTATTATGTTTTAAGGGCAATGTTTACTATTTTATTTTTTTGTTTTGTACTTTTTTAGTTAATCTTCAACTGAGGATATTTTTCCATTTATTTTTAGACAGAGTGGAAGGGGAGGAGGGAGAGAGAGAGAGGCATCAGTGTGAGAGAGACACATTGATTGGTTTCCCAGAGCCAGGGATCAAACCTACAACCCAGGTACGTGCCCTTGTCAGGAATTGAAACCACAACCCTTTGGTCTAAGGGCAGCACTCTAACTGTGGAGCCAAACCAGTCAGGACAAATCAAATTATTTTAATGCTAGTTTGAAGATTATCACGTTTTGTTTTTCTCTGAATGTCTGCAACACTGTACCAGACCTGGATTCATGTGGCACAAGGAGAAGAAGGGATCTGAAGAAGCGCAAGGACACCAAGGTTGTTAGAAACATCTCCTGGGCCATGTCTACCCTTTAACTCGCCAGAGAATTTTGTATACAGTTGCAGAATTCAAAACTTTACATCTTTACAAATTCCTCTGATGAAGCTAACAAAACCTCATTCTTGCCTCTATCCTTCATGCATTTGCCAAGCAGAGCAAAAATTAACTAGTAAAATGGCTATGTCATGATGAACAAGAAAAAGGAAGTTACTCCTGGTTTATATAATAACTTCAAGTCAAATGATCCATCCATAAAGAAGACAAAATCAATCATAAAATATTGAACTATAGGGAATGAGGGTCATAGGTGATGGGCTACTTTTTATATGAATCATGACTCAAGATTGTATACATTCAATAACATTCCAATATAATTTATTAACATATTTCTGATCATAAATTATATCATAATATACATTTGCTAGATAATATATTTAATTCTATTCTACATGGACAAACTTAAGGAATTTGTTTTGATACTTCCTTTCCTTTTTTCCATTATTTTCCCTGATATTTATAATCTGTTGTGTTTATATTTTTATTATAATTATTTATTTCCATTGAATTACTTATTGAAGTATAGATAATAAAGTTATTGGATACAATGTGTAGATAGATGTTCCTTTGTATAAAATTCAGAATTTGAAATATGTGAAAATTATATATAGATATATTTTTTACATGTACCTGCTGTATTTTATCATATATACCAGATAAATAGTAGTAATGAAAATACATAGTCCAGATATCAACCAGATTTTATTTAATCCAATTCAGATGTCCTAAAATCTGCAAAAAAATGAATTACCAATTGGCAAAATTTACATTTGTCTTTCTCAGTTTTTCTACCGTAGTAAGAACAAAGTGAACTTGCTTTGAGAGAGTGCGTTGCCTTGCCTAAGCCTTAGATGAAAACACATGGTGTTAGAGTTAGTGGAGGGAAACCCAACTGATTAGAAGTTGTAAGAATAAATGGAAAAACCAAGTTCTGAATTCAAGTATATCTGACAGGGTAACAATCTGTGAACTTTCTCAGGAAACCCAAACCCAGTTGGTTGGTGAACTTGAGTCAATGCAAATATAAATAATAGCAGCACAAGAAAATAAGTACAGCTACACTGGGGAGGTTAGTGTACAAATGGATTTGTCCATAAATGTTATGAAAGGAAGAACACAAACTAAGAGGCAGCTAAAGTGCTAAGAAGTTGGAATCCTACCTTCCTTCAGAGAGAAAGATTCTGTTCAAGGTCAGTGTAACAAGGAATTCAAGAGTTTAATATTCATATATATATTAAACTCTTGAATTCCTTGTTACACTGACCTTGAACAGAATCTTTCTCTCTGAAGGAAGGTATATATATATATATATGTATATTTTTTTTTTTGCTTAATCCTTTCACCTTTTCACCCAGCCCCCAAGCCCTGTCCCCTGACAGCTATGAGTGTTTTCTGTCTCTATGAGTCTGCTTCTATTATGTTTGTTTATTTTGTTCACTAGATTCCACACACGGTATAAGTGAAATCATATGCTGTTTGTCTTTCTCTGATTGGCTTATTTCATTTCACAAAATACTCTCCGGGCCCATCCTTGTTGTTACAAAGGTAAGATTTCCTTAGGGTCAGGGGAGGCAGAAGAGTGTAAAGGGGGGTAAATGGTGATGGAAGGAGTCTTGGCTTTGGGCGGTAAACACACATATGCAGATAATGTATTACAGAAATGTACATCTGACACCGAAATACTTATATTAACCAATGTCACCTCAATACATTCAATAAAAATTTAAATCAGTAAAATGTATCATATTTTATCAATTCAGTTCGTTAATTAATATAAGAAATTTAAAGCCAGAGTGAACTAGGCCTAATTTCCTGCAGACACTAAAGCTTTATAAATGTATAACTGTTCTTCAGGACTTATAATAAAAATGATTAGACTCTTGGACTATCAACATTGCTGTGGAGCAGTTAACGCTCAACAGGGTGTCCTGGAGCAGTTGGGGTTTGATTATCCTCTGTACCCTTACAGGAGTGACTTGGTGCAGCAGGGGGTCCTAACAAAGACTCATGCAAGAACTAATAAACTTTGTAAGAGCCTTTGTAATAAGACACTGTAGTGACACATGCTTTAGATCATGAAAGGGTCCATGTGGCCCTGGGCCGGATTCCACTACTGACTGAAATCCAAGTCTGAGTTGATCTCTCAACTTCTAAATAATGACACTTTTATTAAATTTCACAGAAACCAAAGTATTACAAAAGTTGAAAGACAGTATAGACAAAACTATGTATGATGCCAGGTGGGTACCAGACTTATTGGGGTGATCACTTCGTAAGTTATATAAATGTTTATGCACTACACCGTACACCTAAATCTAATGTAATACTGATTGTCAACTGTAATTGAAAAATTTTTTTAAAAAATGAAGAAATCAGGGGTCTGTGAAATAAAAACCAGTATGTATCATTATCTACACAAATGAGGACCTTATCTGCAGATGATGAGATAATGCAGAATAATGCATTTTTCATCTTTCTCTTTATGTTTAAGGGCAAAATACTGTGTATTTCCTTGCAAAAAAAAAAAAAAAAAAAAAAAAAACTAGTCTTAGTGATATATACTTATAATTATTAACATTTACACAGGTAGTCTATATAGAAAGTGGGCTACACAAGAATATATATATGAGACTGCTGTAGGCACTTGATCTGCTGCAGACAACTTTCGTATCTGATGCTCCCCCATTTTCTATAATCTAAAGATGCAGCTGCTACCATAATTTAAGATCATGCAGTTGGTAATGCGTATATGCAATTGCTTTTCTTCATATAATTAAGCAAGAAAAGCAATAGAATTCAAAGCACACAATTAAAAAAATTTTTTTCCTTCATTGATTTTAGATAGAGAAGAAATGAGAGGGAGAGAGAGACAGAAACATCAATGAGAGAGAACATCGATTGGCCACCTCCTGCATACGCCCCACTGGGGATCAGGCCCACAACCTGGGCATGTGCCTTGACTGGGAATCGAACCAGCGAACTCTTGGTGCATGGGGTCAATACTCAACCTCTGAGCCACACCAGCCAGACCAAAGCACACAATTTTAATTGTAAATAACATTCTTTAGAAATCAAGTCTGCAAATCACACTTTATCTTTTAGGTAAAAATCAATAAACAACAGAGCTATCAAAGTATCAGAACATATCAAATCAGGGGAACGTGAAGTTATTTACTTAGATTAAACATGTAAAACAATAACAGGCCCTCCCCCCAAATTAAGAAAAAAAAAAAGCAACTTTATATTTTACTTGAAATTGGAGTATTTCTACTACAAGCTCTTTCTGACTCAGTCAGCAAGCCTCTTCCTCTGACATTTCACAGGGGTTCCGAGTGGCTTTCTGCGCCTCCTACCTCTTTCTTGCCAAGGGCAAACCTGTTTCTTAAATTGTGTTGTAATTAATTCAGAACTGCTTTTCCCTATGTTTCCTCATACATTTCTGTTCTCGGGTCAAGACTCCCCGGCTGACTGGCTTGGTTTCACAGCAGGGTGGTCTGAGGAGCAGAGGTCCGAAGAGAATAAAAGCATCGCTGCAGGGGCTCCCCCGCGGGGCTACAGCTCCCAGTACAGCCGATGAGCGGAGGCCCAGAACCTTCCACAGGCGCGTGGCGAAATGTAAACCCACCGATGCCAGCTTCCCAAAGTTTATATACAAGAAGTCAGTTTGTTTTTCAGTATTAATTCCAAAGCTTTTGGTATAATAACCCTTATTATGAGGCCTATTAACATTGTAAGAACATAAAGATTATTATGTGACACAGAAGTCTATAAATTGAGACCAACTTAAGAGAGAGAAAGAAAAGAGATTCAGGGAGGTAAAGCCCAGATTGGTCATTTGACTTGCCATTTTTAACTGAGAGTGTGTATACATTAAATCACCCATAATTTACTGGCTTATTACCAAACAGAGGGTTTCTGAATACTCAAGGGAGGGACTGAGGGCAAACCACCACTGGAAACACGAAGGCTGTGTGTTCTATAAGTCACACCTCAAATTATGAACTTAGTAAATGGA